ATTGTCATTATAGATATTCCATAGGGGTCTGAACTGCAAGCATCTCAGAGGGATTAATACCTCTTATCTGAGCATGATACTGCAAGTAACAGTTTAAGAGCCAAAATTAAGCAAAATACCCTTCTAGTTATTAACAATGGCATAGTTTTTACAAGGTGGTGAACAAGTGGTATGGGTGAGTTGGTGATCTGCAGGAGGGAAGTTTAGCCTTTGCCCTCCACTGTTGATCCAATGGGTTTTTTCTTTTTGAAAATACTTGCGTGTAATATGCATGGCATTTCTAAGCATGGCCCTAAGAAGCAACATGAAGACTGTGAGAACCACCATCATAGCTGAATTTTCAGTAGGCTTGGGAAGTATAGGTTAGACTCCCCAGGGCAGCTCTCCACTTGGTCCTTATCTTGGACCAATGAGAACAAGATAGGTTAGAACTGCCATACTTGGTTAATTCAATTATAACTGTCAAAGTCAAGTTACATGGATCATCCTGAAGTACTACATAGTTTTCAGTTACACTTTATCGAAAAGAAAGCAATTCTTTCTTTGCAAATTTACATTAGGCAGACGTGGACCCAAGACAACCTTAGAGTTTTCATACACTCTATGAGTGAGAAGGAAGAGGCAGACATTGCTGAGAGCTTCCGAACAGATCCAATCTGATTATGCAAAAGAACTTATCTGTGGGTCCCACTTTAATTGCAAAGGATAGGTAAAGAAATACCTTTGATATCTGCTACCTCAGCACCCAAATCTCTTCTGATGGCTCCAGAGAAAAGGGGAGTCTGTACAACTTCTCCATAATATAGGACAGAATTATTCAGATACACAGAGAAGCTGCAAAGTTTGGCTTAAAAAGGTATTTCCCTAGCTTTACTGGAAAAGAACTGAGTTTCCTTTTGCTGATAAAAGCACAACGGTTACACATGTTTAAAGAGAATGTGTGATGTGAATAATGTGCTACACACTTAAGCTGACAGGCTTGATCTTATCAATATGATAATACATCAGTTCACCTAGTGACTCTGGGAAATTTAATCCTGCAATAAATCTCTCTAGCAAACTCTCCAAGTCTGAGCTTCATTTTCATAGACAATCCCAAGACTTTCACACCAGCCAGAGGATACAATTCAACTACTTAATCCATCATTTCTTTCCAGCTATAAATAGACTCCACACTGGCCAGATTTATCCTACACAAAATCAATTTATAAAGTAGCAGCTCTGTGGGCCAGCCTGTGTGTGAATCTTTTGAAGGAAATTAAAAAGGATATATTAAAGGAAGGGCTGAAAAAGACACACTTTTGAAAACAAGAGGGGGAAAGGGAGCTGAAAGGACTTCAAAACTTCTCTTTCAGGATGGCCTTGTCTTTTCTTGGAGTCCTAAACAGTTTACATATAATGATGCCACTTGATTAAAGGAATTTTAGGTCAATTTGTCACCACATTCATTCCTACGCAAACTAGAACCTGCTGCATAAATTGGTATGACTTTTCAACATAACATGTTTTTTCTTGTTTAGATGGTACACATCTCAAAAAGCACCTTATCCTCTTCTCTCACAGAGAAATTTTGTCTCCCCCAAAGAGCTACAGTTCTCTAATTTGCTGTTATTTTGAATTCTGATTTTTCTAACTCTGTAGCCTATCAAACTTCTAAAATTTGGGATAACAAACCCACCAATTACTTGACCCAAAACTGATGCAGAGTTTAAAATTTAAAATATTACTGTCCTCAGTAATTTGGGAGGAAGAGGGGAAAAGGTTTCCTACTAGCCAATCCATTGGTATTTTGTAGCTTAAAGAGGTATGCATCAAGTTACTCATGGCCAGACCCAAAAGGAAGAGAGAACAACAAAACA